CAAAAGATCATACATCTGCAGAATATTGCAAATCAATTGCCAGATGCATTTACTGACATAAAAAGGGTGACAAAATCACATGTTGCAGCTATAAATGCCCCTGCTCGAATTTAAATTACAAAAGAAATGGCAAATGACGATGTGCCCAATGAACTAAAGGCACGATTGAAACGAGGAAGACCAGTGGGGTCTAAAGATAAGAATCCTCGAAAGAAAAGAGAAATTCAAAATTCTAATTTGAAAAAGAATCAAGATGATGGAAAAATTTCGGAACGAAATGAAAATATTGAAATCTCCATCAATTACGTAAATAATGGGAAACTTTGGAAGCGTGAAGAGATCATTGATGATGCATTTGCATATATGGTATCACAAGAAATTGATAAAGAAGTTGAGGATCCTGAACCAAAGTCTATGATTGAATGTCAGAAAAGACATGATTGGGACAAGTGGAAAGACGCTATTCAAGCCGAGTTAAATTCGCTTAATAACCGAAAGGTTTTTGGACCTATAACCATTATACCCAAAGACATAAAACCTATTGGGTACAGATGGGTCTTTGTCAGAAAAAAATAAATGAGAAAAATGAGATCACAAGATATAAAGCTCGTCTTGTAGCACAGGGATTCTCCCAGAGGCCTGGGATCGATTATGATGAAACATATTCCCCTGTTATGGATGCAATTACTTTCAGATACTTGATTAGTTTGGCCATCCATAAAAATATTGAGATATGTCTCATGGATGTAGTGACTGCTTACTTATATGGATCGCTGGATGCTGACATTTATATGAAAATTCCAGAAGGGATTAGAATACCCGAAGCACTAAATTCCAAACCTAAAGAGTTATGTGCGATAAAACTGCAAAGATCATTGTATGGCTTGAAACAATCCGGGCGTATGTGGTATAATTGTTTGAATGAGCAATTACTAAAACGGGGATACATAAATAATCAAATATGCCCGTGTGTTTTTATAAAAAGATCACAAGATGGAGTTGTGATAATTGTTGTCTATGTCGATGATCTTAATATCATTGGGACTACAAATGAAATCCAAGAAGCAGTCACTTTACTAAAAGGCGAATTTGAAATGAAAGATCTCGGACAGACCAAATATTGTTTCGGCTTGCAAATAGAACGAGTCCAAAATGGGATATTTGTCCATCAATCTAATTACACTAAAAGAATACTGAAACGATTCAATATGGACAAGGCGAATCTACTTAGTACCCCAATGGTCAATCGAACATTAGATGTTGAAAAGGATCCATTTCGACCTTGTGATGAAGATGAAGAAATACTTGGTCCTGAAATACCATATATGAGTGCAATAGAAGCTCTTATGTATCTTTCTAATTGCACCAGACCAGATATATCTTTCGCTACCAACTTATTAGCAAGATATAACTCGGCACCTACGAGGAGACATTAGAATGGAATCAAGCATATATTCCGTTATCTCCAATGGACAATCGATTTGGGACTGTTTTACTCTAATGATAAAAAACATGAAATGGTTGGTTTTGCAGATGCAGGATATCTATCAGACCCCCATAAAGCAAGATCTCAAACTGCTACGTTTTCACGATTGGCGGAACCGCATTTTCTTGGCGTTCCCAGAAACAAACATTAGTTGCGACGTCTTCAAATCATGCGGAGATCATTGCACTTCATGAAGCAACTAGAGAAAGTATCTGGCTCAAAAATATGACTCAACATATTTAACAAGCCAGTGGACTATCAAACAATAATGACCCGACGGTGATATACGAAGACAATGCAGCATGTGTCGCTCAAACCAAAGAAGGATACATTAAGAGTGACAGAACTAAACATATCCCGCCAAAGTTCTTCTCATATGCTCAAGAGCTTGAAAGAAACACACAAAATCAAAGTTCAATACACTCGTTCAAGCGATAATGCAGCAGATTTGTTTACGAAGGCGCTTCCGACGACAATATTTCGAAAGCACGTACACAATATTGGAATGAGACATCTTCGGGACTTGTACAGATGATAACTCGAGGGAGAGTATGTGTGGCTGTACTTTTTTTTTCTTTATCTCGGTTTTTTCCCACAGGGTTTTTCCAGATAAGGTTTTTAACGAGGCAGCATAAACACACATTTAATATTGGTAATTCTAAGGGGGAGTGTTGTGTAAAAGTGGTGGAATTTACCACTACTAATCTTATCATTTACATTAATTTATTTAAAGTGTGCATAGAAGTGTGTGCCAATGTGTCTATAAAAGGGGCCAGGCACTTTGTTAAATTTGTACTGAAAAACGAACAGAAAAGAGAAAGAGGAAAGAGCATCTTGAGATTTATATCCGGTTTTTACATTGTGTTCTTTATATTCCTTGTATTTCATAACATAAATAAATTAATCGGCAAAAATTCAATTTTAGTTCGTTTATTTGTCTAAAATTATTTTTTAGTATTTTATTCCCCCTCTCCCCCCCCCCCCCCCCTAATGAATAACAGTATTGTTGGTGAAATTGATTTTACCCGTCTTCTCGGAGCTGTCCTCCCAGTATTTTCAGTATTTGGTTGTATTTTTCAGCTTTTAGTTATTTGTTCTTCGCACTTTTTGTGATTTTTCGTTATATAATATCTATATCATTTCGAAAAAAAAAAATATAAAGCTCAACTGTCAATTCGAGATATTATGGATAAGTTTTATCCACTTATGACTCAAAAGATCTAAAATCATCAATTTAAAACTCTAGTGGCATGATTGGTATGCGAGAATGACGTAGGAATGGAATGATCATTCATTTACTCATTCATATTCCCATGATTGGTATATTTTTTAGAAGGGAATGACCATTCCATTGAAAATTGCAAAACCCATCTATATGGGATTAGTCATTCCATAGCTAATGGATGGTTTTCTCATTCCCATATGTTTGGGAATCGATTTTTTAAAAAATAAAATTAACAAATAATAATAACAAATAAATATATAATATATTATAATAATTAAATTATATTAAATAAAATTATTTTAAAAAAATAAATTTCAAATAAAAAATTATTTTCATATATTAATCATATTTTAATTAGATATTTTAAATACTTATATAAAATAAAACTCACAAAAAATGCATTTATAAATAGTTTGTAAAAATCTCATTTTATTTCATATAATCACATATATTATAATATTTATTCATAAATTGAATTATCTTATAAAAAAAATATTTGACCACATATGCTTATAGATGTTTATGTAATGATATATTTATATTAGTTTGTATAATTACATAATTTACTTACTTATTATACAAGATGGGTGTAACACTGCAAAAACATGTTTATTAAAATATAGTATATTCTTAAAATATAAAATAATATTAGAATTATCAGAAATAAAAAAAATAACATTAATATAAATATTATTTTTTCTATAAATAGTGATAAATGATAATATCGGATGATAATGCCATTTTATTCTCTCTTATTCTTTTTGCATACCAAACGCTTTAATGAAAAAACTTGTTTTATTCCTTTCCTATAATCATTCTATTCTTCAACGAATTCAATTCCTATTAAATTTCATTCATTATACCAATCATGTCATAATGGCATGATTGCCACGAGGTAATGACATGAGAACGGAATGATCATTCCTTGTTAGAGAGAAGATGGAGATAGTGTGGAGCATAATGAATTGTTGTATTGTAATGATGGCAGAGATATTTATATATACAGTACATGAAGATAAGAGAGAGATGGTAACTCTGCAACCTAAGAATATTTTGTAACTAATCACACGTGCTTAACCATGCACTAATCATGCACATACTTAACTAACTAACTAACTCAATTAATAACCTAACTATGTAACTACCCAATACTCCCCCTTGAAATCGAGCTGGGGCAAGCCAAGACCTTGTGCTGTAAAGGCAACTTCGAGCAGAGGAAAGAAAAGCGGCCAGGACCAAGAGGCTTAGTAAGTATATCCGCAAGTTGAAGTTCAGTGGAGATATACCTTACATCAATTTCTTTGGCAGCAACTTTTCTCTTACAAAGTGAATATCAATTTCTATGTGTTTAGTACGAGCATGCTGAACTGGATTAAAAGCAAGAGCTGCAGCACTCACATTATCACACCATAAGATAGAAGGAGATTCAAAAAACAGACCTAGTTCATGAACCAAGGAATGCATCCAAAGAAGATCAGAAGAGGCAGTAGCAAGAGACCTATACTCTGATTCTGCACTACTCCTAGAGACAACCTGCTGCTTTTTGGAGCTCCAACACAAAAGATTCTGGCCAAGCATAATAAAGTGGCCTCCAGTAGACCTTCTATCATCCAGACAACTAGCCCAATCAGCATCAATGTAAGCCTCAAGAGTAAACCTCTTCACAGGTTGAAAAGAGAGGCCAAGAGAGAGAGTGCCTTTGATATACCTGAGTAGGTGTTTGCAAGCAAGCCAGTGATGAACAGTAGGACCATGTAAGAACTGACTTAACTTGTTAACAGCAAATGAGATATCTGACCTTGTCATAGTTAAATATTGCAAGGCACCAACAACACTCCTATACAATGTAACTTTGGAAAAGGGTTCACTATCTGCAAGATGCAACTTGGATGCTGGAGAGAGAGGTGTAGACACAGGCTTACAATTGACCATGTTTGTCTTAACCAGTAAATCCAAAGCATATTTTGATTGATTTAACAGAAAACCATCATGACTTTTGAGAGCTTCAAAACCAAGAAAGTGGTTAACCTCCCCCATGGATTTCAAAGCAAACTGAGTGCCAAGAGTAGTGATCAAGTCATTGATAGAGGTAAGGTTGTCTCCTGTTATTTAAATATCATCTACATAGATGAGAACAAGAAGCAAGTCCCCATGAGATCTCTTAAAGAAAAGTGAAGAATCAGACACACTTTCCTTAAAATCAAGAGACAAAAGAAAACCTTTAATCTTATTAAACCAGGCCCTAGGTGCCTGTTTAAAACCATAGAGGGACTTGGTAAGCTTGCAAACAGCTGTAGGCCTAGAAGAGTCAACAAAACCAGCAGGTTGAGACATATAAACTGTTTCATGCAAGTCTCCATTGAGAAAAGCATTGTTGATGTCAATTTGTTGGATGGACCAAGCATAAGTAGCAGCTAGCGTGAAAACCAACCTAATGGTGCTAGCCTTAATAACTGGACTGAAAGTCTCTAAAAAATCCACTCCAGCTGTTTGTTGAAAACCACGAGCCACTAATCTAGCTTTGAATTTATCAACTGAGCCATCAAGTTTATACTTTGTTCTGAACACCCATTTGTTGGAGATAACTTTCATATCAGGATGAGGATCCACCAGTACCCAAGTGTTGTTGAAAAGTAAGGCCTGAAATTCACTTTGCTTAGCAGCAAGCCACTCAGGTCTAGAGAGAGCCTCAGCAATAGTAGCAGGTTCAAGAAGTAGTGGTTTGCAAAGGTTAGTTGCATATGTCTTGGGTTTGAAAATACCAGCTTTGGATCTGGTAACCATGTGATGTGTAGGAGAAGAAGAAGAAGAAGAAGAAGAAGAAGAAGAAGAAGAAGAAGAAGAAGAAGAAGAAGAAGAAGAAGAAGAAGAAGAAGAAGAAGAAGAAGAAGAGGCCCTTAAAGGTTGAGAGGAAGAACTAGTGACAGGAGATATAGGTAAGTTAACAAAGATAGGAACAGTAGAATGTGAAGAGTGAGAAGGTGAGACATTTCTTTGAGAAGAAGAAGAAGAAAGATTATGTCCTGACTGAGAAGGATGAGGAGATGGATTATTTGGACCAGAAGAAATAGAAAGAGCAAGAGGAAACAAAATAGGAGAAGAAGATGGAGAGCTTGTAGGAACTGATGAAGAAGGAGAGACAAAAAGCTCAGCATAAGGGAACTCATTTTCATTAAAGACAACTGAAATGGCTATATAAACTCTCCCTTACGCATCAAGACAAATGTAGCCTTTATACTGTAGCCAAGAAACAGACACTTAGTACTTCTATACTGAAATTTATGACTATTATAAGGCCTAAGATATGGAAAGCAGGCACAACCAAAACGTTTAAGAAACTTGAAATCAGGAGATGACTTGAATAAGAGAGAAAAGGGAGAGGCATGATGCAAAACAGGTGTGGGCAGCCTATTTAAGGTATAAACAGCTGCAAGAAAAGCATGCCACCAATACTTAAGAGGCATATGAGCCTGAGCCAACAAGGACAAACCCATTTCAACAATATGGAGATGTTTTCTCTCAGCTCTACCATTTTGCTGGTGAGTGTGAGGACATGGATGTCTAAAATGAATGCCAAGAGAACTAAGAAAAGGAACAAGAGACCTGTATTCACCACCCTAATCAGATTGCAAGCATTTAATGGAAGACTGAAATTGTGTAGCAATGAACTTGACAAATCTCTGACATGTAGAAGCAACCTCAGGCTTTGTTTTTAAAGGAAAAATCCAAGTATACCTTGTATAATCATCAATAAAATGCATATAATACTTGTAACCATCAACAGATAGAGCATGTGAGGGTCCCCACACATCTGAATGTACAAGTTCAAAAGGAAATGAAGTTTTAGTTTCCTGAGAATGAAAATGCATCTGATGTAATTTTCCAAGCTTACAAGCATCACAAAAGGGCAGTGAAGAAGGAACAGACAGATGTAAACTACTCATCACCCTTCTAAACACAGTGTCACAGGGATGACCAAGTTTTCTGTGCCAGTTGGAGATAGTGGTCTGACTTAGGACAGGAGCTCTTGAATGAACAGAAGCTGTGAGATTGCAGGGTGTAGCAACTGAGTCTGAAACAGTGATATGATGCAGGAGAGAGGTATGGTTGGAGAGATCCATCTGATACAAACCATCTTTAAGAACTCCTTCCAATAGCACTTGATGTGTTGTCTTGTCCTTCACAAGACATATATCAGAGTGAAACTCTATTACAATCAGTGTTAGCCTAAACGCTAAACGGTAAACAGTCGGCGAGGGCACGTGTAGTGTTTAGACGGTGTACACGGCGTGTACACGGGATTAAACGGATTACACGTTTTTAACTACATTAGTATTAATATTATGACTTATGAGTCAATGACATAGCCATAGCCCATACGCTAATTGCAGATAACATCACAACAGTCAACATCACAGGTGTTCATCTTACAACACAACAGTTAGTAACACACTGCACGCATATATAGTTCTCACAAAACGGATCAATTTTTTGTTCTCCCGCCCAACCGCTTCTATTTCCAAAACGGACCGTGTAAACGGCCTAAACGGCCGTTTAGGCCGTTTAATACCGTTTAATACCGTCCCGTTTACACATTTTACACGGTTTTTTTCCGTCTACACGGCTAGCCCGTTTAATTACCGTTTATCCACTAAACTGCACACCATAGCGCCGTTTACCGTTTAAACAGCGTGTCAACGGTCTAAACGGCCGTTTAGGCGAACACTGATTACAATATTGTTGTCCTTGGTTAATTGAGAGATAGATAGTAAATTCTTTGTAATATGTGGAACAAGCAGAATGTTATTCAACAACACAGGAAGATGATGTTTAGTAGCAATAGAAGAGGATCCAGTATGGGAAATAGGTAACTGAGATCCATTACCAACAAGAACCTTAGCACTACCTTGATAGGGGTGTGCTTGAATGGACAAATTCTTAAGGTTGGCAGTTAAGTTATTAGTTGCACCACTTTCAAAATACCAGTTGGGATCAGAACCATAGGTAGAGGATGAGCCACTGAGAGGAGGAGAAGCATTTGCATCACCAAGGTGCACCTGAGGAGAAGAAGGAGCAGAATCCTGACCGGTGAAGCTGATATCAAAACGCTTGTAACATTTGAGCGCAACATGGTTAGATTTGTCGCAAAGCTGACAAATAACCCTATCATAGTTCTTAGAGAAATGACCACGACCACGATTGGAACGACCACGGCCTCTGTAAGAACCACCACGACCACGAGACTGCACATATTGAGTGGAAAAGGCATTCTCAGAACCCGGTGAGATGGAAGAAGCCGTAGCCAGAAAAGCGACCGGAGATGCTGATGTATTACTGGCTAGTCGCATCTCATGTGTTTGCAAGGAGAATTGAACCTCAGGCAGCGAAATAGAATCAAGCCGAGAAGTGAGATTAACAACAACAGATTCATAATCGGCACCCAAACCACCAAGTACATACATGGCCAGTTCATCATCAGTAATGACATGTCCAACAGAAAGCAATTCATCCGCAAAGCCACGCATCTTCAGAATATAGTCATCAATCGATAAATCCCCCTTTTTTAGGGTTTGAAGTTGAAACTTGAGATGCAGAACACGAGCTTTAGACTGAGAATGAAAAAGCGTAAGAAGAACAGACCAAACCTCAGCCGATGAAGAGCATCTGGTAACGTGACCAAGCATAGATTCAGACATGGAAGCAAACATCCAACTGAGGATCAGCTGATCGGTGCGCTTCCAATTGATGAAGGCCGGATTGAGCGCAGACGAGGAAGAGCCATTGACGGCGTTGAGATATTTCGCCGGAGGAGCAGACTGAAGCAAATAGTCCTCAAATCCATAAGCGCGAACAATGGAGAGAATTTGAAGTTTCCAATACGAAAAATTTGAACGATCGAGACGAAGAGGAAGCGGAGTGAGGTGAGGGAGAAAGGGCGACGCCGGCGACGAGACATGGAGCTCGGCCATGGCGAAAAATTTTACCCTAGCTGTGACACTATGTTAGAGAGAAGATGGAGATAGTGTGGAGCATAATGAATTGTTGTATTGCAATGATGGCAGAGATGTTTATATATACAGTACATGAAGATAAGAGAGAGATGGTAACTCTGCAACCTAACAATATTTTGTAACTAATCACACGTGCTTAACCATGCACTAATCATGCACACACTTAACTAACTAACTAACTCAATTAATAACCTAACTATGTAACTACTCCAATATTCCTTTACTCATTCTTTATCTCATGATTGGTATATTTTTTTGAAAGGAATGGTCATTCCAATAGAAATTGCAAAATTCATCTCCATGAGATTAGTCATTCTTTAACAAATGCAAGGTTTTTCTCATTCACATATTTGTGTGAATCAATTTTTTAAAAAATAAAATCAACAAATAGTAATAAAAAATAATATATAATATATACTATAAATAATAATTAAAATATATTAAATAAATTTGTTTAAAAAATTGAATAGAAAAATTTAAAACTTATTTTTATTTATATTTTAATTAGATATATTAAATACATACAACAACAACAACAACAATAAGAAGCGGATAAAATTCCAATATGTGGGGTCGGTTATATGGATTGCATGTCGTCATTGTGCTCGATCAAAATTTATACCCTCATTCAAATTTAAATTTTTAAATTGTTTTTTATTGTTAACTTCATTTCTTAGGTCTATTCCTCCCCTTTTTAATTTGATGATGTTTCTACTCTTCTCACTCAGACCTCGAAGTCTCTCCTACGCACATGCCCAATCCATTTTAGAAATAAAACAAAAAAAAATTCATTTATAATAATTTAAAAATTTATTATTTTATTCTTCTACATCATAATATAAAAAATAATATTCATCCAAATATGCTTATTGGGGTTTATGTAATTATATATTTGTATCAGTTAATAAGTATATGAATACACAATTCATTAATTTACAATATAATACATATGAGTGTAATAATATAAAAATAGATTTATTAAAACATAATATATTATTTAAAAAAATTAAATAATTCTATCATTATCATAAATTAAAAAAAATAACATCAGCATAAATCTTAATTTTTTCTATAAAATAGTGATAAAT